TGAATATATTACAGTGAATGGATGCCCTATGCTACTATTGTATGTAAGCATATCCTACAAAACCGATACATGTATAAACTTCAGTACTGGGATATGAATAATCCAACCCAACACTACGGGCATTGGAGAATGTTACAATATTCAGCCCGAGGTATGAGAGAAGGACTAGGTGAATCGGTACCTCATGGTCAACGTTACCATGACGACCAATGTCAACCCTGTTGGGAACTGCAGTAGACTTTGTTTATGTCATTTATTGGTTACATGCGTCACTTCGTCGCCATATCCGTTGACTACATGGTGTTACCCTGATACGACATCAATGTCGTTCTTGTTTGTAAGCCGTTCTGAACAGTATTTCCGTTATACCACGGCGTGTCAGTTTGATATGGGACAGCCTGTCAGCTTATTAATATGTCTGGGGAAGCCCAACGTGATGCAGGTTTGTTTAGCTGGAACCTAAACACAGTCACACGACTTGGCCACCCGCACCGTATCATATGGACAAAGTGTGATAGCATTCATGACCATCATGACACACACCACAACCTACACGTTGTGCACACATGTACCATATATAGCAGTTCCTGACACAGCGGTACCTTACATATCAGTACCTGACATAGTGGTATCTGACATAGTGGTACCTGACACAGCGGTACCTGACATAGTGACACCTGACACAGCAGTACCTGACAGCGGTAACTGACATAGTGACACCTGACATATCGGTCCCTGACACATCGGTACCTGACATAGTGGTACCTGACATAGTGGTACCTGACATAGTGGTACCTGACACAGCGGTACCTGACACAGGGATACCTGACACAGCGGTACCTTACATATCGGTACCTGACAAAGTGGTACCTGACATAGTGGTATCTGACATAGTGGTACCTGACACAGCGGTATGTGACACAGGGACACCTGACACAGCGGTACCTTACATATCGGTACCTGACATAGTGATACCTGACATAGTGGTGCTTGACATAGTGGTACCTGACACAGCGGTACCTGACACAGAGACACCTGACACAGCGGTATCTGACATAGTGGTACCTGACACAGCGGTACCTGACACAGAGGTACCTGAAACAGTGGTACCTGACACAGCGATACCTGACACAGGGGTACCTGAAAGAGTGGTACCTGACACAGCGGTACCTGACACAGCGGTACCTGACATAGTGACACCTGACATATCGGTACCTGACACAGCGGTACCTGACATAGTGATACCTGACATAGTGGTGCCTGACATAGTGGTACCTGACACAGCGGTACCTGACATAGTGGTGCCTGACACAGTGGTACCTGACACAGAGACACCTGACACAGCGGTATCTGACATAGTGGTACCTGACACAGCGGTACCTGACACAGAGGTACCTGAAACAGTGGTACCTGACACAGCGATACCTGACACAGGGGTACCTGAAAGAGTGGTACCTGACACAGCGGTACCTGACACAGCGGTACCTGACATAGTGGTACCTGACATAGTGGTACCTGACACAGCGGTACCTGACATAGTGGTGCCTGACATAGTGGTACCTGACACAGATACACCTGACACAGAGACACCTGACACAGCGGTATCTGACATAGTGGTACCTGACTCAGCGGTACCTGACACAGAGGTACCTGAAACAGTGGTACCTGACACAGCGGTACCTGACACAGGGGTACCTGAAAGAGTGGTACCTGACACAGCGGTACCTGACACAGCGGTTCCTGACATAGTTGTACCTGACACAGCGATACCTGACACAGCGATACCTGACACAGCGGTACCTGACATAGTTGTACCTGACACAGTGGTACCTGACACAGCGGTACCTGACACAGCGGTACCTGACATAGTTGTACCTGACACAGTGGTACCTGACACAGCGGTACCTGACACAGCGGTACCTGACATAGTTGTACCTGACACAGCGATACCTGACACAGTGGTACCTGACATAGCAATACCTGACATAGGGGTACCTGACACAGCGATACCTGACACAGAGATACCTAACATAGAGATACCTGACACAGCAATACCTGACATAGCGCTACCTGACAAAGCGGTACCTGACAAAGCGGTACCTGACACAGCGATACCTGACACAGCGCTACCTGACATAGCGCTACCTGACATAGTGGTACCTGAAACAGCGATACCTAACACAGAGATACCTGACATAGTGGTACCTCACCCAGCGATACCTGACATAGAGATACCTAACACAGAGATACCTGACACAGCAATACCTGATATAGCGCTACCTGACAAAGCGGTACCTGACACAGCGATACCTGACATTGCGGTACCTGACACAGCGATACCTGACACAGCGATACCTGACACAGAGATACCTAACACAGAGATACCCGACACAGCAATACCTGACACAGAGATACCTGACACAGAGATACCTGACACAGCTGTACCTAACATAGTGGTAACTGAAACAGAGATACCTGACACAGAGATACCTGACATAGCGCTACCTGACATAGTGGTACCTGAAACAGCGATACCTAACACAGAGATACCTGGTATAGTGGTACCTCACCCAGCGATACCTGACATAGAGATACCTAACACAGAGATACCTGACACAGCAATACCTGATATAGCGCTACCTGACAAAGCGGTACCTGACACAGCGATACCTGACACAGCGATACCTGACATTGCGGTACCTGACACAGAGATACCTGACACAGCGATACCTGACACAGAGATACCTAACACAGAGATACCCGACACAGCAATACCTGACACAGAGATACCTGACACAGCTGTACCTAACATAGTGGTAACTGAAACAGAGATACCTGACACAGAGATACCTGACACAGCACTTCCTGACATAGTGGTACCTTACACAGCGATACCTGACACAGAGATATCTGACACAGCGATACCTGACTTAGCGATACCTGACATAGTGGTATCTGAAACAGCGATACCTGACATAGGGGTACCTGACACAGCGATACCTGACATAGAGATACCTAACACAGAGAAACCTGACACAGCAATACCTGACATAGCGCTACCTGACAAAGCGGTACCTGACACAGCGATACCTGACACAGCGATACCTGACAGAGCTAAACCTGACACAGGGCTACCTGACATAGCGCTACCTGACATAGTGGTACCTGAAACAGCGATACCTAACACAGAGATACCTGACATAGTGGTACCTGACACAGCGATACCTGACACAGCGATACCTGACATAGCGGTACCTGACAAAGCGGTACCTGACATAGTTGTACCTGGCATAGTTTTACTGACACAGCGATACCTGACATTGCGGAACCTGACACAGCGATACCTGACATTGCGGTACCTGACACAGCGATACCTGACATTGCGGTACCTGACACAGCGATACCTGACCTTGTGGTACCTGACACAGTGATACCTGACACTGCGGTACCTGACACAGCGATACCTGACACAGCGGTACCCGACACAGTGATACCTGACACAGCGGTACCTCACATTGTGGTACCTGGCAAAGCGATATCTAACACAGCGATACCCGAAACAGCGATACCTGACATTGCGGTACCTGACACAGTGATACCTGACACAGCAGTACCTGACATAGTTGTACCTGATACATCGATACCTGACATTGTGGTACCTGACACAGCGATACCTGACATTGCGCTACCTGACACATCAGTGCATGGCACAGCGGTATCTGACATAGCAGTGCATGGCACAGCAGTACCTGAGACATCGATACCTGGCATATTGATACCTGAAACAGCTATGCACTGGTATGTCAGACACTGCTGTGCAAGACACAGCAGTGCATGGCACAGCGGTACCTGACACAGCAGTGCATGGCACAGCAGTGCCTGACATACCAGTGCATGGCACAGCGATACCTGACATAGCAGTGCATGGCACAGTACCTGAGACAGCAGTACCTGACTCGCCAGTGAATGACATAACAGCATATATGGGCATCTGGCAAAAGAGTTACTAAGGTTCCAGACCAAAAAGGATGAATTTCATGACAGTTCCTGACATAGCACTGAATAGAAGTACCTACCATATCCGTCGTAGACATATTTAATACCTCACATATCAGTTTGCTACATATAAGTTCTTGACATACAATTTTGTGCCTGATACATCAGTTCGAGACATAGGTGCCTCATAAGTCAGTTCCTGGCAAAACAGAAAAACACACACATGACGGTCCAAGACAGGGCAACGTCTCATATAACGGTACCAGACTGTACTCCTATATTGAACCTATATATCCATTCTGTAGAATAAAAGAAATTCTCTGTCAGTTAATGTTCGACATTTTTATCACCTGTTTTTGTGCAGTCACCTGTCAATGGTATCAACATTGTCCATAATATATGACATTGATCGTTTTCAAAGAAACTGAAAGGGAAGCTGGTTTGCGAAGCTTGTTCACGACGCGCTTGTTCCGAATTATAGAAACCAATGATCAATGATATAGTTCACATAAAAATTAACCATTTCTGTATTTATCACTTAATCAATATTTCTCTTTCACGCCCAATTTAAATGGACTATGTAGTTTGCTTAACATAGAAAGTTCACTTAGGCTCTGTAATGAACTGTGAAGGTAAAACCCCAAGTAAAGACGTGTAATTTGAGGTCAGATAAATCGGGTTTCTGTTCATTGTAGAAAAGGAGTGGGTATTACTTCAATAAATCTTTATTTTTCTGTTTCATGCTTCACAAGACCATGGTTTTATTACTTAATGCTGATATATCGACAACGACGCCGGTAACAGCTAATAACCTTCCAGATGAACAGGGCTATCGATGGTGTAATCTTCGTCAGAGTGCAACACACGCTTTCTCGCGAAATCAGAAGCCGTTTAATTATAAGATGATTATTCATTGATTAGCGTAAAATGTAGCATGCCAATAGACGCCTGGATCCAATAGATGCGCCACGATGTTCGTAGACCGATACGTCTCCAGAGCCTATGAAGGATATGAAGGAACCTCAGTTTACCCTTTTCAGATTTGTCATATCGAAGTTATCTGCATTGTCGGGAGGGACGGTTTGCAGATCTTCTGATTATCACCTTGGAAATTAAATTTTCCGTTCCCTTAACCTGGCGCACGGTGGGCTATCCCGTCTCTTTCTTGCGCCTTAGCACATCTCCGTCTGGGTGCGACCTAGGGGATCCAAGCTCTCATTTAGGCCCCTTCACGTCAAGTTAAACTGGGAAAAAGCGAATAAACAGAGAAACGGGAACTACTGCCGCGTTTTGACTCCGCCTTTAATCAATAACTCCGCTGGTACAAGAGACAGTAGCCATTGGAATGACGAACAGACGAGATCTGTACATAGAGCGCGCGCATCGCACGTTCCAGCACTGGGTGTCGTCTGCTATCGCCGTTACGTCATCACGCGTCACAAAAGCGGGAGAAACTTCAACGAAGACTTCTGGATTTGGCTTTCATTAGCTGAATATTGAGTTAGTTTTGAGAGTAACCGTTCAGGATTTATTTGTGCGACTTTTCTGCAGACTTGCAAGGAAGTGTCTTCGTGACTACTGATTGCTGCGTGATCGGATTATAGGTTGATGTGACACTCCGGAGTAATGAATGAAGGACTGACAACTTCAGAGAAAGGATGCTCCATAGTGTAGCAATGCTAGCTGTCCTGCTATATTCTGGTAAGTTATTATTTAATTATCACTTTTGAATGAACAACTTACATATGCCCAAGACATCGTTTGAAAACTTTTTCATGGGATGACTGAAGACAACAGAGTTCCTTCACATCGCAGTCTATTTCCGTGACACTGACACCAAAGGTAACTTACACACGCCAGCGACCTGTAGATAGCTGAAACTTTGAAAACATGTCAAATCGTGATATCGGGAAATTTATAACACTGACATGGACTTGCCTCATGCATCTTGACTTGACAACTATTCTATGGGCAGATTTCCTAACGCGTTTCTCTTTCACAACTAATTCGGTTCTCTGAACTAGAGCAGAAACGGATCTCAGATTTCTACGTACAGGTGTCTCGTAGAACCGGATGGGTTGTGATTCAACAAAAGATACTTATAATGAAGTTTATAAGCGACCAGACATCAGGAAATGTATCTAAATAGGTTCCCAGTGGTTTCATATAAGACTTCATTGCGAAACATGCACGTGTGCCTCGCTTTCATTATCAAGAATAGAACACGACTGTTGTACATGTTGAACACCACAATCCACACTTTTTTGTTTTAAGAGTTGAACAATCACAGTCATTATTCAGCTTAATGGATGGAAGCAGGGGGTCCTTCAACGGACCAGGGGCCCTGTTTGTTTATGGATTTCCCACTGCTGTGACCTATTCTGATTTAAAGTTTCCTGGAAATGTTTGAGTCTGTTTCCAGGAGTTAATGGACTTTAACAATCTCCAATGTTTGGGGCAGTTTGAAACCACTGGGGTAATCCAGCGAGTTGAACGTGATTATGTTCTTTCTTGATATTGGAAGTTTGATGAGAGTTCGAATAAAGCTAATTAAGTACCGAAAACAGCAAGCTGACCTCCATCATTATGCTTGAAACTGAATCTGGAGTACGTTGATTTTCCAAAAGTTTTCTCATTTGTCTATATAATATATCGGTGTTAGAAGTTTGGTATGGAAATGAATTTCAAGAAGTACCGTCCAACTGATTAAACTTTGTAATGATCAAAATAAGTTCAGTACACATTATTGAGATAAGAATTGACTTTTAGTGGCAAAAGGTTTCAATACATTCTCGTTCGATGAACTACTATCTTGTACACTGTCGAGCTATATTCATTTTGCAATTTAAATTTCAAAGATTAAATAACGCGAAAACTTTCCTTTCAAACATGAATTATTCATTACCCTTTAGTGATATTAATCGGAACTGGGTTTATTTTATAGTCTGTTGGGACCATTTACCATTAACTAGTGTTTGATTATATGTATTTGCCGCATACAGACGCACGGCAACACGTAGCCATGCAAAACGCAAACACTTTATTCCTCTGAACAGCCAGTTTGTAATAGTTCTCCGGCGATTACATAATCATAAATAACTGACACTCTAGCAACATAAGAACTTAATTCGTATAACAACCAACTCTATTACAGTAAAAGTAAATACAAGAAGAAACTAAACGCGGTGATGAAGCGATTTGCTCGCTCATTAAGGAGGTGAAACATTAACAGTTTTTGATGCTGTAACTATAAAACAGGTTTCATGACAAGGTTATGACGTGAAAGTTATAAGCTCTTCAGATCTCACCCTAACATCCTCACTCAATTCTCAACTAACTCAATTGATGTGTAAATAAGTTATGTCAGGATACAGGAACCAGATGTCTTCGTCGTATGGAGGTATCAAATGTCAGTGTCGTTTATTCTCTGCTATCACCGTGCATGAGAGATTTATGTCGCTGTTCTAACAGGCTTGAAACAGTCCGGGATTAAGACCGTTAAACACAATGCCCGTCTCTGAAGACGTCAAGCCAGAGAGAAGACTCTTCATAGACAGTCTTTAAACGCCACCGTGAGGCTTCACAGTCACAGACGTTGCTGATTCTTCACAAGTCATTGGACACTCTTGTTCAGCATTTCAGTAGTGTTTAGGTTTTCGCGGCGTGGGTTGGAGACGTTTTTTTGGAGAAAAAATAAAATACTTTGTTTCGTTACTTGTTTATCATTCATCGCAGATATGTTACCTAAGTTAACATTTCAAAATTGAAATTCAATCTTGCGTTGCCCAGTAGTAAATTAGTCAGCAACGCTACGTCTCATCTAAACGTGAACATCCTCCTTCAAACAGTCGGAAATCTACATAATGTTCAATAATGAATGTTCAATGATCACAAATTCTCTCAACGGACTCTTGGCAACTTGTGTATAGGGAAACCTATCTCCTAAATCGTTCGACTCAGTTAAGCGGAGTCATGCTCTTTCAGTAGTACGATGGCGGTCTGGGTCCCTCTTTCGTGACAAATATCCTACAGGGATATCCTACTGCACAAGGAGATACAAAACGCAGGACAAGTGACGGCTTAGACCGAATACCACTTCCAAAACACATTCACTTGTTCCCCGAAGCAGTTAAACAGCTGTTTATTATGTTCAGTACAGAATGAATAACGACAAGAGGGACCTAGAGGGAGTGATTCGTCTTGAGGCTTATTTCCTTCTCATTTGTCCAGCGGCATACGTCACTTAGCTTGCGCTGATTGCCTCAACAGTGTTTTTATACACTTTGCGATAGCCTGAAAGAAGTTCGAGTTAAGCAAAAATGCGCAGAAATTAGATTGAATGTGAAGTAACCACTGTTAAGGGTAGATTAAATGAGATGGTTGGCAGGTACAAGGGTATTCAAGAATAGTGTTTAATACCATCCTGATTCGGCCTCCCGTGGTGATTGTGGGAAGAATTTAGTGTTGCATTAAATCTAACTGAATCAAATAAAAGAGGGTTGTGGATGTCGTTTGATGTTGGGTTTAACATATGACATCCTCGAGAGGATCCTACACTTAACCATTGACAAATGCGCATGTTTAGAAGAATCTGCCAGCGATGAGGATTTCACTTTTAATGCTGAGCTATTTAATGCTGTCATCGGCACTGTGAAAGAGGGACTAGGCGAGGGTCAATTGGTAGCCACAGACATTTTGATTCAATTAATTTAAAACCGACTTTCTTTCAGAGGTTTATTTCGTTATGCGAGGGCGGATCCAGCCTTTTTAAAAGGGAGTGGTCCAAAATATCAAAATCCACTCTCAGATAATTTTACTGCCTACTACATACTACATTTAGTTCCCCTGGATCCCTCATCTGGACCCGCGTATGTTATGTATGTAATTCTAGCAGTTAATGCTTACACTATTTAAAAATAAATATATGACGCCCGAAAATAATCAGTCTCGATTATCTGCCGAAACAGATTCCATTGGGTGTACATTGTTATGGATGATAATTACTGGATATCTGCGATGATACCAGATGAAAGGGGTCAGCATGTCCTGCTGCTAAAGCAATAGTTTACAGACGGTGATTACAACGTTTCGACCTAGGTTGGACATGGAAAGAAGGAAGTGGGATATATTTAAGAGCAGTGTAGTCCTCATAGAGTTGAATCAGTCATAATTGTCCCTTCTTCACAACGGAACTCCACATCAATCTGACACGCCATGGTATTCTTGAAATACTCTCATTGCAACGGTAAACCTAACTCACTCACTCACTCATAATAATTGAAAGCCAGCTATATAACATTATTACTTAAAGATATGGATTCTCGGATATAATATAATAACGAAATTGATAGCGAAATTTACATAAACAACCCCTGCTAATTATGTAAGTGGGTACTGATGGTGGACGGAAAACTAAAGCCGGATCTATATTGACCTTATTAATCACTCTAACGGAGATGTCAATCTCTCCCGGATCACTATATAAACTTTCTTAAAGCGCAAGTTTGTTCAACACACTAATCAACAAATATCCAAATGCTATCAAGCTGAGTTCTATATTGAGTCGTTTAAATCTGGAATACTGAGTGCAAACACTGTTTCCATTGGGCACTGGCATTGAAGCAAGTTCGACGGTATTCCATCGAGCAGATTACCTCTGGCTTGTCCATTAATCTTAAGTATGAAATCGAAGGAGTGTGCCTGGTCATCACAGCATTTCCACATTCCGACTCCATCCTGACTGATGATCATACCGACATGATAAAGCACCTATGGTGTAGGGTAGGCCACAAATCTCTGGGCGTACGGTGTGTAAGCGGTGGAGACGACAGAGGTTGTTGGATCGACCTCGGGCCGATAGCCCTTGGGGGCAGTTTTATGCAATAGTTGGCTGACATTTCCCCCGTACTAGGCATCATTGATTTCATAAGCCACGCCGTAAGAGTCAGAAAATTGACATAGATTTTGCTCCAAAACTAGTGCCGCCTCGTATAGCTGATTCACTAAGGTGGCTAGTCTCATGATGTTCAAAGTGCCGCAGACACTCTCTACTTAGCTCTCTGAGTGAGTCTTTCCACAACCTTTTAAAATCATTGCCTTAAAAACTCAATTTTCTTCTACGACCTGAGTCTTACATTAGGGCTTAAAGGGTCATCTGAGATCTTTGCATGTATCTTCTATATACGAGGTGTTTGAAAGAGGGCTGGAGCGTTACCAGGATTTGACACGAAGGATCCTTGCTTCCTTTACAAGGAGAAAGTGTATCTGTAAAATAAGATCTCATCTAAGGAATTCGTAATGAAAAGGATTAACGAAGACATTTTCAAAACGTAAATGTGTTTTCTGACAAAGTTGAGTTTCAAACTACATCTAACATTTAGCTTGGAGTATACACGATTTCAGTTGAAATAACTCAAGTTCTTGACTTGACGTTATCGACCGTTTTGGTATCTGGTATATTGATAAGCAGCAAGCAGATGTATCTGTCACATCACGTCTTCTTAAAAGGTTTTGATATATGTATTGCTAAACGTATATATGTCTACTGTCGGTAAATCAATACCGTTTTACCTTTACCCAATACGCCATATTCACTGTCTTAATAGGTATTTGTACATTTGGACGTTAATGTTCGACTGATACTTTTTTTCAGCCAGCAGTTATATGTTTAAAGTAAATGTCGCCTGCAAAGCAAAAATTCA